TCGGTTCATATCAAGGTCCTCCGATAAGAGTCATCAGTTCTTCTCATTATTGAAGAAGAAGAATAACTTTTGGTGGACCCCGGAGTGCTAACAAGCTTTGGAAGAACTCAAACGGTACCTTTTGAGTCCACATTTGCTTCATACTCAAAGGCAGACGAGCAGTTGTACCTGTACTTAGCGGTATCCGAGATAGCGGAAAGTGGAGTCTTAGTCCGGGAAGAGGAAGGTACGCAATTTCCTATATATTATATTAGCAGGACTCTAGGCAAGGCCGAAACAAGGTATCCTCATCTGGAGAAATTGGCACTCGTTTTGCTAAGCGCCTCCAGGAAGTTAAAGCCATATTTTCAATGCCATCCCATATGTGTCATAACTACTTACCCATTGAGGAACATAATGCACAAACCCGAGCTCTCGGGACGATTGGCCAAATGTGTCGTGCAAATTAGCGGGTACGATATCGAATATCGACCCCGAACCGCCATCAAATCACAAATTGTGACAGACTTTGTGGCCGACCTTAATATCCGAAGTCAAAAAGGAATTATTGTTAACCTCGGGGACCTCCTTGGGAATCTGGACCCTCTTTACGGATGGTGCCTCAAACGCAAAGGGGTCCGGACTCGGCATCGTGTTGAAGCCGCCTAAAGGCAATGTAGTTAGACAATCTATTAGAACTATGAAATTGACTAACAATGAGGCCGAGTATGAGGCCATGATTGTAGGTCTCGAATTGGCTAAAAGCCCGGGGGCCGAAGTGATCGAAGCTAAATGTGATTTCCTTCTTGTGGTAAATCAAGTCAATGGGACATTCGAAGTGAAAAAGGAACGAATGCGAAGATACTTGGATAAACTACAGGTGACGCTACATCGATTCAAGGAATGGACCCTACAACACGTGCCCTGAGATCAAAATAGTGAAGCCGATGCTCTGGCCAATGGGGCTTTGCTGGCCCGGCGTGTGAGCTTTATTAGTCCCCCTCAAAAGATTCGGGGATTATATAGGTAGAGTAGGTGATCGATGGTGAACCGACGGGATTCAATCTTGTTCACGAAGGAGGATCACGATCCTCCACAGCGACGGGTGGATCTGACCGAGGCATACTTCGTACCTCTTGCAAAAGTCCAAGAAAACTGGGTCCATCAGGCCCAATGCGAAGGGATAAGTGTAAGCACTTAGATACCCCTCCACATAGGTAGTGATGGCGTCCTTGGGCCCGGGGACTACTACGTCCTTACCCTTCCTGTTACAGTCCCCCCAGACCACGGGAAGGACGTCTTCGATAATGAAGCATATATATATTTATACTCCTTCACCCCGGCCCTGCACCGATGAGGGCTTTTCGGCCTCAAAGTCATCTGCGACTGAGCAGCCCCTGGGGATGAACATTTTCAAAGGAGGCTAGGAAGACGGTTCATCGGTAGTTGTGCCAGGAGCAGACGTCTCGAGGACGACTTGTTGAGGAAGAAGAAGAAGAAGAAGCGACTTGTTAAGGAACAGATTTGGATGTTTTAGCCATTGTTATCTGAAAAAGCTTGAAAGGTCTAAGAAAATATTTTGAAAAAATGAAGAGTCAGGTATGCTGATTTGGGTAAGACTAGGTAAAAACCCGAAAATTACTAAGAAAGTTTGAAGAACGGAGGTAAAGATATGGAAGTATGAAGAAGGTGAGTAACATCTTTAAAAATCGAAGGTAGAAGCTTGGTCAAACGGTGAAAAATAAACGAAGAATGAACTCTTTTATAGAGGTTTCATGATGTTTTGCATTCAGAGGTGACCTGCAAATGGCTGACACCTGTTCGAAGTTAGAACAACGTGACTGACGGGATGTTTCGGCTTCTTTGTCGTTTCTGTTGCGGCGTATTAAAGAAGGAGGTGAAAAGCATCTGTCGTTTCTCATTGTTTCGGTAAACCTCCTCTCTAAGAAATGAGGGGACTATCTGTATACGGGTAAAATCAGGCCCGTTGAACATCTCGGTTTCCCGGTAAGACAAACGGGACTGGAACGTGATCATAGGGAATTAGAGTCTGGGCGAAAAATCTCTCGCATCGGGGATCGAGCAAAACATCCGCCCTCAGAAGCATCGGGGGCACATCTTCCGGGTCCGGTTCGAACCCCTCAACTTTGGAGAATATTACCAAACGGTCGAACACGACTAACAAAGAGTCGTGACATCCGTGCCCAACCGGATGTCACATCGTAAATCTCGGTCCGTATCAACAGTGAATCAATGATTAGAATAAAGAAAGATTTTTATTCTTTTCTAGAATTGTACTTCGGGTAAAACTCACCTACTATATAAAGGGGAAACTAGTTGTTCATTAGACACATTCTAACACGCATATCAAGACAATTTATTTCAATTCTCTTTATTGTTCAAAGTTCCTATTCTTATTCTTAAGTTCTTCATAAGTATAAGCTTGGAATCGAGGGTAGGTTCTCATCGAGCCATCAACCGAGCTCGGAATCATCCTTATCATTGGTTTGGTCATCTATTATATTTTTTATTTGCTTAATCTAACGTCATTAATCACTCGTATTGAATTAATTCACATATCATTAAAGCCACATATAAATTCAATTATTATCCGTTTTTTTAGGGTAAACAAATTTAAAAAGATTGTAATTGGTACTGCTTTGAAAAGTGTTTTATATCATCTTCCAACAAAGACAATGAATAGTAGTATGATCGATTTTTACTTATTTAATAGTAAACCATTTTCTTGTTGGGTGGGTTAGATGGGAAAGAGTCATGGTAAATGAATTTTATTATTAAAATATAGGATTTTAATGAGGTTAATATGTGTTTTTTAATTTTCTGAATCAAAAGAAATTGTTCGATAACTTTATTATCCTAAAAAAAAAAAGTTACTTTGATAGAATATATCCTCATAAGTTGGGTGACCATTTAACAAATTAACTCAAAATATTATCATATAATGAGTAAGGTAACTTTTTATATTATTTTAAAAATAGAAAATCGATGTTTAATTTTATATTGAAAAATAGATAAATCGACTAGCGCATTTGAAATTCCACCTTCCATGATAGAAAGAAATTTTCACATTATTATTGTTAAAAGGGATTTGCACATTTAGTCACTCAAACGTTGATGAAGTGTAATGTTAATCCTTGTGATATCTAAGTACGTTTAATCCTCAATTAATTGACACACTTTTGATATTTTCACTTGTAATTTTTCACAAATTATACCATTAAATCCTTTAATTACCCATATATTGCATAGAGTTTGTACTATTAGTCCATACTTGAGAGTAATGTAATTCTAAAAATAGTCTAAATATATTATATTTCCTAAATAAAGGGACCAAAATACACACCTCTATTAATTGAAAATTAAATATGTTTAAGCACGTATCACAAGGATCAAAATTAAAATTTTACCAATTAATCAAAGACCCAAATGATATTCTCCTTATTCGTAACATTTCTTATTTTACCCTTACTAAAAGTATAATTTATTAGATTTCACTTTTGATATATAAGCTATAATTTTTTTATTGGGAGAAAGAACACTAAACACATAAAAATCTTATCACCGCCATCTATTTGTTGCTAGTAAATACATGTGGGCACTTCCCATATATTTCACTCATTCAATTCTTAAATTTTGTGTTCAGTTACAATATCACATAAATGAAAATAGTTAGATTTTATTTAAAATAAAAAGGGACCACAAATGCGAGTATAATTTATTAGATTTCATATATAAGCTATAATCTTTTTATTGGGAGATAGAACAATAAACACATGAAATCTTATTACCGCCATCTAATTGTTGCTAGTAAATACATGTGGCATGTGGGCACTTCCCATATATTTGACTCATATAATTCTTAAATTTCGTGTTCAGTTACAATACCACATAAACAAAAAGGTTAGATTTTATTTGAAATAAAAAGGGACCACAAATGCAGCAGCCACAATATCATATAAAATGAAAAGGATTAGACTTTATTAAAAATGAATGATAAAAATGCACCAGCCGGGAATCGAACCCGGGTCTGTACCGTGGCAGGGTACTATTCTACCACTAGACCACTGGTGCCTGTTGATATCTAAATCATATATTAAATTAATATCAAATAATTAAAAGGCAGGGGTCTTATTTGATTTTCTTAAAAACTACGAGGACAAACTGGTGCAACATATTTAAAGGTAAAAAGAAGTCCAAAAAGGAGAGCAGTTGAGGGTTTCTAACGGAGAAAACGCCCGACGCATCTTTTTTTCCTCTGAATCTCCGACGTACTTTTCAGAATCTGGCTAGGGTTTCGGCTGTTGAAATTTGGTCGTTGCTCAATTTTAGGTTTTCGTGAGAATTACTGGTTGAATTATAGTAAAAAAAAAAGATGTCAGGGAAGGTGGGAGATTATCGTATATTTGTAGGAGGGTTATCATCGGACATCACTGAACGTCAGCTGGAAGATGCCTTTAGCCCTTTCGGTAAAATTGTTGATTGTCAGGTTCGCTATTTTCCGTAAAATTGACTTGTATTTTCTGTTTATCGTTCGAATTTGATGCAATTTGTTACGTTAATTGGCGACTTCTGCCTGTTTGTGTATAGCTTAGTTTCTTGTTTGACTTTGAAACTTGGAGCTCAAAATTGATCATTTTTTATGATAAGTGTGGTAATATATNATTGACCTTTTGTTCTAGCAAGTAAGGGAAGTATTTTTTCTTGATTATAAAAAGTCTATTTTTGTGGAAATTTTTTAAGAAGATTCAAAATCCATCTGGTTATTTATATTGTTGAAATTATTTATATTGTTGAAACTCTTTTATTTGCCTTTTGTTATTAATGATTGGCTTAGTTAGATTTACACTAAAGGTACTCTGACCATGGTATGTAAAGCAGCCATATTTTTATAGCTTGATGCCTAAGTGGTGCTTCTTTATCTACATCCGATAATAGCTGCGCAACAGATTGTATGTTGCTCCTTGTAGCTTGTCTCTGGAACTGCAAAAATTGTGGTGAGTTATATGTCTGCTTAAGCAAAGGAAATGTTTTAAAGATCAACCATGAGATCAAAATGGTTTTCTGTTTTAATTTTTATTTTGTCGTTTTCTTTATGGTTTGTGTTCTGTGGGAAGGGCTGGCTGGGACAATCTTTGGTTTTTGAAATCCCCTAGATTGCTTGAAGTTGAGGACTATGTCTTTTTATGTTCTGTATTTTTCTCACTTTGATTACCTATTAATAACTTTCCTCAATTTGCTGTGGATCTGGCTGCTTATAGAATCGAATTACCTTAAATGGATTAGTATGAGGAAGTCGTTAGTTCATCGGGATGTGCAAAGTTTGTGGGAGTGCACCATTTGAGATACTAGAATTTGTTCAGCAGCTTGTTTTTTATTCACTCGCTAGACTATTCACAAAAGGCAGTTGACCTTTAATTGCATTTAAGATTTGAGAGTGGTTTGCTTTATAGAAACATTTGAGAGTAGTTTGGATGAAGATCAGATTCAATTTCAGAAATAACTTGTCCGCGGATTGCAGCCGATTCAGAAATTGTGCTCTGGGTCCATGTATGAACTGTTTGAATAAAAATCCTTTCTCTTTCTGGACTTGATTGCGTCATCTGCATGTTGGCCTTGGATTGAAGACAATTTTCTTCATTCAGAGTTAGATGCATAGCAGTCAACTGACATTAACGTTCAGTAAACTTCTTTGCTTTGCGAGATGCATCAAATGTGGGAATAGAGGGTAGAATTAGCTTTAGATGCAAGTTGCTTCGATCATGCGTAGCAGTGGAAAGAGTCATGCTTTTTTCTGCTATAAGTGGGAATAAAGTCCATCAATAGATGAATTTCAAATGCATAAACTACGCTTTGTGTCCAGTTCAAACATGTCTTCAAGTTGAGTTGGCAGACAGCTTCCAAGAATGGCACCTCTTGGTTTTGGCGTCCTGCAAGATGAATGTGATTGGAAATTGTTGTCTGCTCTTTTTACTAGAAGTTGGTGTCATATTCCCTAGTTCGAGGGACCAGATGTTAGACACGAATTCTAAGTGCTTTGGAAGGAACATGAGAAAGTATCATTTTCTTTTTTAGCTGATTTTTCAAATCTGCTATTTCTTTGCTAGTTTGTGATTTGTCCTGTCGATAATTTCTTTGGACTGTAAGCTGCATAAGATCTTGGTGCACGAAGTTCACAAGAGAAACATAACAACTTCCGTGCTTCTGCTTTTGATGCTATGAGGATATTGCGACCTTTAGCTTTCTACGTTGTTGTCCGTTTCACCTCCTTATGTTTGTGGTGCTCGTAGTCTGCGCGTTCTTTTGAGTTTGTTTTGAAGAAAAGTCAGGGAACAAAGTTTTGAAGTTGTAGCGGCACTTATCAAACCACCCTGCTTCACTATATAAGTATATATGTTCGACAATCAAGAGGGAACTCGATTCTTGACCTTTTGAAAGACATAAGGTCTAGCTACCTTCTGTGTATTTGAAGGTTGGATTGTTGCTTCAGTGTTTTTAGTTCGTTCACACTTTGGAGCATCAGAAGATGACATACTCTTAAAGTCTGAAGAGAAGTAGTTCTTTAATCAACCTAGTGAAAACAATGAAGTGTTTTACTTTTCAAATTTTTATGGTCAATGATATGTTGCTTTGGATTAGTTTTTTGGCATCTTAGTTGTCCATTCGCTTTGAAATGCATTTTATATGCTGAAGCTGGATTAAGATTTTGAAGATCAGCTTCATCTTCTTTGACGGCTTTCTAGCCAACAGCTAAAGAGGGGGAAGTTGAAATGTCACTAGTTGATGGATGTTCTTAATTTAGATTAGTTGAATTGTTGCTGGAAAAGTTAGCTGAATGAAGATCAGTGTCTTGCATAATAACTGAAATAAAAGCATATGTTTTTGGGAAATCTAACATGGAGAGCTCCTCAAAAAGGTATCTTGCAGCTGAGCTTTCTCAGTACGGTCAATCACCTATGGCTTAGATGTACTTCTGCCATATATTTGCTTGGCACTTGTTAGTTGGTTGAAATAAGTGAGGTAAAGTATATGGCCTTAAATCGGATCAATTGGCATTGTCAAGAATTTATCCGAGACGTTAGAATGCCTTCATATTTGTTGTTTTATGTTTTGCTGTTATTGGCATCGACTTCATTGGGTACATTTGGTCTGAGTCAACCTAATGGGGTCAGATGAATGAAATCTGCAGGACTGCAGATTCCGCCGCCCAAGTAAGACTCCTTTGCTGTCTTAAATGTATTATCATCCTTAATTACTTTTATATTCCTAGACCTTGCTCTAAATATGATTCTTCGCGATCCTCCATTCTCATTTTAGTAATGTGATTAAGAAAACGTGTACCAGTCGGTTTTACCAACTTTATTTTCATTGTCTACCATTTGTATCATTCCTGCATGCACAGTTATAAAATTGGAATTTGACTTGAGAACTGAAGTCTCTATCATGAATTAAGTTAACAAAGATTTCCATTTTAAAAAAAAAGAAAAAAAACAAAGAATTCTGAAGTTGAATGCTAAAGTTTGATTTTTCAGCCTCAAAAACCTTTTGAAAGAACTAAAAAATTCAGCCCTAAGAAGGTACTTTCCAAGTACAAAAGTATCAATGACTTTCTGTCTTTTAAATATGCAAGGAGTTCAGGAATCTCAATGCCTGATCCGAATAATATGCAGCACTTATACTGCACCAAAAATATAGCTATCAGTTGCTTTACAAAACACAAATTAAAAGCCATAATTTAAGGATGATTGAGGATTTTGTAACAATGCTAAAATCTGAATAACTTTCCCGGGAAGTCAATATTTTCCTTTCATGTAAACAAAACCGTGAAATTTGTCAACGCCTTCATATCAGTAAATGAAGGTTGAGGCATGGCAGAAAGGAAAGGTACTTGAGCAAAAAACCTTGAAAATGATGGAAGCAATACGATAGAAATGTCCCTTCCTTTTCCTTTTGGTCCCAAGATTAATCTTGTATACCAATTATGAGGGGCCCAACGTGAATCATTCTAAAGCCTTTGAAAGTTGTGTTACACTTGATGTTTCATGCCTATTTATTGACTTAGATAACAATCTCTGACTTAAAGCGTGAAGGATTCTATTTTGACTTCTTTGATTGTATCTTGGGTCCAATCATGTCTTGGTATATGTGTGTAGGATAGGTCATCATTTTTGCGGATATGGACAGAGAGCAATAAGGTTATGATACTGAATTTTTTTCTGAATTTTGGTGACGGTCCATTGTGATAGATTGAGTCCCCGTGTTTAAATTGGCTGGGTTTGAGCAAATTTGTTTTCCTCGGTAACGTTCTGAAAGAAAGCTCTTGTTTTGCTGATTGAGATAGCTTCCATTATACATGTATTGATCCAACAATTTATTACGCTATGCCTCAACCCAAGCTAGTTGAACAGTTTCTAATAGTATAAAGAAAGGAGCCAAAACATTTTTAGTCTTACAGATATTTAGTTTTACCATTTGATGCTCCAGATATTTGGTGAAAAGAGTAAAGGATAATATCCTGATATATAATGCTCATCATCAGTTTGACTATTTCACACTTATATATTATCATGGGGTTCGAAGAACTAAGCTCTTCTATTTGATGTGTGTTTTCTGGCATTAGTTTCTGAACTTTTTGTCCTGTAGGTTATGCTGGACAGAGACACTGGTCGCCCTCGTGGATTTGGGTTCTTAACATATGCAGACCGCCGGGCAATGGAGGACGCGATAAGAGAAATGGATGGTGCAGAGTTTGGTGATAGGGCAATCACAGTGAACAAGGCCCAACCAAAGATGGGAAGTGAGGATCCTGACCATGGCTATGGTGGAGGTTACTTATCAGGTGGCAGGGCAAGCTATGGTGGGGGTAATAGGTCAGTTGGGCAAGATACTTGCTTCAGCTGTGGTCGCCCTGGCCATTGGGCCAGAGACTGTCCATTAGAAGGAGGTGGCCGTGGTGCTCGACCACTAACACCCCCTCGTTCTAGGTATGGCGGTGGTGGACGTGGGGATAGGTTTGGAAGTGACCGTGATAGGTACATGGATGACCGGTATGATAGAGGGAACTATGCAGATAGGGAGCGCTATGACAGCAGATACGGGAACCGTGATCGATACACTAGTGGCAGGTACTTTATAAAAACTGACAATAATGCAGTGGCATCACTGTGGTGCTGCTTTTTAATTGTTTGAGGTGGTGCTGCTTTTTAATCTTCTTTTCCCCCTATTCTTCTTTTCTTGTTTAGTGTTAAGTGTGAAGTGGTATTAGTTGTCTCACCAAATATGACTTCCTTTTGATATCTAGGTACCCTCCTGGTGGTGATCGCTTGGGCAACAGGTATGGGGGTTCTGACCGCTACCCTCAGAATGGTTATGGCAAAGAGAGAGGTTTTGATAGGGATGTAGGCCCGAGAGGTGTGGGTGACAGATATGAAGCTGGAGGGCCAGCCCGAGAAGGAAGAAGCTACAGAGATAGAGCGGGACCATATGACCGCCCTCAAAGGGGAGGACGCCCACCTTCCTTTGACCGTTACTGAAGTGCCATCTATGTGGAAGATGTTGACTTTTAGTTGATCTCTGCCGCAGTTTGGTGGTATGGAGTACAGTAGGGTAACTGTATGCCGTCTTGTTTGGAAGCAGCTAGTAGGACTATGCATGAATACTGACGAATAGAGTAAATTAGTAGGAACGTCGCAGCGTTATGTTTATTCCTAGTGAAACAGATTGGACGTCTTTAGTGTCTTTTGGTTTTGTTTTTATGCTTTTGTAGAAGAGGGAGCCTTCCTCTATTGGAACGCATTATGGTCCCCTGTATGCCATTTCCACTTATTGCTCCAATCATACTCTCTCACAACAAGATTGTCCTTGTGATCAGTTAAATAAAAGTCTTGGTCCAATGCGTCTCCATATTGTAAGAAAGCAAAGCATGCAATTCGTCTCGGAATACACGTTCTACTGAGTGTGATGCCAACAATTCGTTCGTTTAGCCATAACGCTTACAAATTTGTCGATGAACATACGAATTTGAAGCAGTTAAAAACTTGATAACCAGAGTGAGATTAAAAGCCTAAATTGAGCGACAATCTAACTAATACTAAATTTACTGATAGAATGTCATTTTATGATTTCTTACTAGCTGCTTTATTATTTGTTCCTATCAAGAAAACAAGAGGAATTAAAAACTAGAGGATCAGCAAAATCGATGGAGAATCAATAAGCCCTCATTCCATAAATAACAGCCTATATGATGCCTCTCTAATATTCCTACCAACCAATCAATGTACAAAATGTGGGGCTCCTATGAATATGACTAATCAAGTGAAATGAAAACTTTCACTTCCATAATAATTGAATAATAAAACAAATATGCTGTCCTAAAATGCTATAGCAAGAGAAATAATGGTATAGATAATTGACCACCTTGTTTGGTGATTATGTACAACGTCAGAATAATTAAAAAGGACAGTAAGATCGGAGTGGTTGTAGGTGATGGTGATGATCCTGCAGAAGATGCACCAGTACCGCTGAATATCATTCCGAACATGTCAACATCGCCGCTAGTGGACTCGGCATGACCGCCGCCGCCTCCGGTAATGCCCCCTTTGGATGACATGCTCATACTGTTATCCCTGTTATATAAAGGAAAAATGTTACACCAATCCATGAAAAGTTAGGCAGATAACTAAAATGGAGGACTTGAGACCTATCAGTACGTTATCACCTTTAGTAATTGAGGAAATGCAGGTGCAACCGCGGAGTTAGAATTTAAACTTTTATGTGTTCTGAATTATAATCCTTATAAATTATTAGATTTGAACAAATATAGAGTTTGAACAAAAGTTACCCTCGACTGGCTCCGTCCGATGTGGGAAGAGAGACAGTATAATAATTTAGAGCTTAAATTTTATGCATTAACAGAGTTAAAAACTATTTATAGGTAATTTTGTAGAGATTAGTGGATATATTTGACATCGATGGGTAAAAGCTCTTAGAAAACTTAGCATATGTGCAAATATACGCACAATACCTAAAAATTCCTCTATATTTGGCATGCACAACTAATTAGACAGTGTAACACTAATAAGTCCTTTTATACCATAACAAATTGTTTAAATAATAACCGTGCACAATAAATTTTTACTATCAAATATAAAAACATTTATTAACCAAATATCAGACATGTATTTTTTTTTAATTGAAACTGGCCTTAAAAAATGAGCAATTTTGGTAAAACATTCAACCAATAGACCATACTCCCTCCACTTTCCTCTGACATAAAGTTGTCCAAGCTTGATTTATTAATATCAGAAGAGGGGCCTCTGAATTTTTACGATAAAATAGTACTGGGCCCACATTCATGGCTGGAAAGCATGAACCAGAGAATATAAACTTCAATCTCCCACATGCTGAACAGCTACTCCCTGCCCTACAACTCTCTAACGAGTAAAATGAAATATTCTAGGCGCTGTTGCAGAGCAGCTTACTGTCTTAACATTTGAGTAATTCGTATTACTCATAATATATTTTTAAACAAAAAAAAAGTATTTGTCCCCTAAGTATCACGAACCACTATTCATAATCATACACTTTTGTGAAAGGAGTAGGCCAAAATTTAGAAATCACAGCTAAAAAGTAGCTGGACTCCATCATTCCCTATCACTCTCACAAGATTCACATAAGTTCATTAGTATATATATTTACTGTGAAAATTATTTTATTAGCTATACACAGTTCTATATTTTACCAGCTCTGCTTTTAAGTTCACTAGTATAAATATTTGTTATGAAAAATCCAAATTCATATATATCCTTTTGTTATTAAAAAGTTACAATAAGTCATATAATTTCATATTATACTCATATAAGTTAGTTAAAAATTAAAATTTATAATTGAAAATTTTATTAATTATTTTAAGTAAAATATTATTTATTTGGACGATAGTTAAGATACCGATTATTCTTTACCATAGTTATCAATTCAAATACTCCCATAATTTTAACCCCAAATCTCGATTCATCTCCTCATTTACTTCGTCTTTTGTCATTATTAAAATTGAAGTGGAGAAAGTAAATGAGGAGATGAATTGGGGGTCAAACTATGTGAATCGTGTGAAAGAGAGCAGTAGATAAGGATAAAATCCAACTATTTTTGTACTGTACATGCACTGGTAACGTGATATGCAATTAAAATTTTGACTCACCATCTCCACAAAGGTAAAATAGTCTTGAACAATGATTCGTAACAGTTTTGGATCAAATTTCTGGGCAAATAACTGTGTTCAATTGGAAAGCTTAAGCAATTCCTACCCCTTCAAGGGCAGGGCAGCATTGCAATGCCCTGCTGAAAATAAAGACAGCAACCTTCGCATATACTCAAATAGTACCATTTATTTTTCAAGAAATTTTGGTCTATCAGTATCTGGCCTGTGTAGTAATGTCTTTGAGAGGCTATATTTAAGTTGGTCTGTTGAGTTAAAACAACTCAAAGAAGAGTATATATTTTGTTTGCACGATTTTTTCGAAAGATTTTACATCGTTAAAAATATTTAGATCTTATATATAATTTCGTTTTAACTATTAATACGAAAATTTTATTACAACCCCCAACAAAATCACTGCCAAAGCTAATAAAAAGGACCATGTTCCGCCGACTTCATCTTTGAATTGCAAATATGCCATGGTCCCTACTCCCTAAACTTTCCTAGAATCAATGACAACTGAAACGCGAAGGCCGAAAAGACAACTCAAGACTACAAGGCTGGATTGGCCTACTGGGGTTGTGCATTAACTTTTAACTGTCAAACACCCCCACATAATCACAGTGGATCTATGAAGCCTAGCTTTGTAGACAAATTTTGGGATTTTACGTATATTATATATTAGCCGAATATTTTTAGTTTAATTGATTGAATGAACGGCTATTTAGGTAATTTTTTTAGAGTTAATACCTTAAAATCCGCCTAAATTATACAACATTTGTCAGTTGCCTACCTAAACTATCACATGTTCCCGAAAACCCCCTAAACTATATCCCCCTTCATAATAGAAACCTCTCGTCGCTTTTTTACTAGTGAGTATAATACACTCTCCAAATTATTTTTAAAATCTGCCATATGGTAATCTACGTGGATATTTGTTTAGCTTAATCTAAAAAACAGACTTAATTAAGATTTTAATACTCTTTATTATTCCATTGTAAAAAATTACATGATAAAAATAGAAAAGGGGGCTAGGGTTAAAATTAGTGGATTAATTGTAAAAAAAACTCATTTTCTCTTTGCTCTCATCGGAGACTTTGCTCTTTTGCTCTCATTAGAGAATGACTACACTAATCTCTCAGTAGTGATTTTCTCCATTAATCTTGATTCTAACCTCGATGATTCTTCTATTCTTGCTTCTGTTCGAAAATCAGGATAAAAACTAGAGTTTCTGCTCCTAAATCAGTATAGGAGATTAGGATTTTGACATACCTAAATTCTGAAGATTGTTGAAAGGGGATACCTAAATTGTTAAAGAAGATAGTTACACACAAGTCCTATATCCGTGTTCCCTAATTTCTTGAAAGCCATTAAACTTCATGCTCTACAAATACTTGAAAGGGTGTTCCTTCTTTCAAATAAATTTAGGTAAGGAATGATGGATAAAAGGAGAAAGATGAGAAATAAATTCAAATAATAAGAGAGAGAATTTCATATGGATTCAGATGAAGAAATACAGAAGAAGGTAAAAAAAATGGAGAAGGTAAAAAAATGAGGAAGGTGAAATATAAAGAAAAAGAGGAAAAAACAAAAAGAAATCTTTAAAAAAGAAGAGCTAATTAGCCGTTAGACACTGCCAGATGGGCCATTTTAATGGTTTTTTTAGCCTTCACGCGCTCTTGGGCAATTTGTTACACACATTATGCCACATAAGCTACGAGGGGGTTTTATTATGAAGGGGATATAGTTCAAGATGTTTTCAGGAATAGGCGATAGTTTAGATAGACAACCGACAAAAATTGTATAATTTAGGCGAATTTTAGGATAGTAACATTGCATGAGTTACAACCAACAAAAGTTGAATGAAAGTCAATTACATTTTTGACACCTGGTTGATGGCCCATCTGGCCACTTTAAAGAAATGAAAGCAAACTAACAAAGAAAAAAACAAGATAGAAAGAGGGGGGAGGAGAGGGAGAATACCCTCTATTTTTTTTAAAAGATACCTAAATTATACTAATAATTTTAATAGAATAAACTAGACAAATAATAAATAATACTCGAATTACATATCTATATTACTAATCTCTACATGACTAATTCTTACATAACTAATCTTTCCATAATTAATCTTTGCATAACTAATCCCTATATAATTAAATCCTGCAATGACTCTATAACTAATCTCTAGATAACTAATTCTCATGTAATTAAATCTTACATAACTAATTCTTTCATAATTAACCTCTGCATAACTAATCCCTATATAATTAAATCCTGCAATGACCGTATAACCAATTCTTGTATAATTAATCTTTGTATAACTAATACATGTATTACTAACCCCAGCATAACTAGTGTTCGAACCAACTGACCATTAAGGGGTTATTTGGTACAATGGTGGGATAAACAAGGATATCACATCCCATGGGATTAGCTATCCCACGTTCTATATGGGATAGCTAACTTCACCATTTTGATGTAAAATTTATCTCAAGATTAGTTAAACCTACAATCAAATATGAGATAAATACAATCCCCGAATTATATCTCGAGATTATTATCCTTATCGTTTGCATCAAACAACACCTAAAAGTCTTTCAAATTTTAATTATAACTAATTTGTGACTTATAGTATGACTTTTTTGTGCAATATTTATACACTAATTTCATTTCAAGAAAATTAGGAAAAGAATAATGTTTGAACTTCTAACAAACTTAGATGCATTAACTCCAGTTCTCATTTTGGGAATAGAAGAAAAACAATGGGTTGAAAGTAGGAATAGAGGAAAAGTGTGAAAAAAAAAGGGGGA